TGTAATGAGTTTTTGATTTAGGGTTTAGGGTATAATAATACATACATAACTTGTGATATATGGTTTTCGTTTTTAATGGATAAATGAAAGTTTGATTTATAGTTTAGAGATTGAGGTTATGGTTTTGGATATTATAATACAAAGATAATTTTGATATAAGGTTTTGATTTTTATAGATAAATGAGTGTTTGATTTGAAAGGTTCGGATATCATAATACATAAAATAACTTTTGACATAGGTTATTAGTTTTTGTGAGTAAATGAATGTCTCGTTTAAGGTTTAAGGTATCACATTAGATACGTAACTTTAGACATTGTTGAGATTCAAAGAATTTGTGTAGTATATTTAAGATTTGTTCCATTTATTGAATAATTTGGATTTACCCATTTAGGGTATAAATATGGTTTAAAACAAAATTTACTTTAGATAAATTTTTCTTCTTAATAATATTTGACGAAGTTCAGTTTTACTAAATTCATGAAATTTAATTATGGTTTAAGATTATAATTACAAATGAATTCACTTAGTTTTAACCGTTGTTTAGAGTTCAATATTAAGAATTTTACATTACATACATAACCTTGATATAAGGGTTTGACTTTTTAAGAGATATAACTTTTTGTTTTAAGATTTGTAGTTATACATTTTTAATCAATGATTAAAATTATATATGAGATTAATACATATATACATACATTTTAATCTGTTCTTTGTAATTAAGTATTAGTAATCGTTTAGGGTATAGGGTTTCATAAAGCTATGAATAGCATCAATATATCTGTGGCTCTATAAATTTTAAAAATTTGGCACAGTTTTTATTCCCGGTTTAATTTGGGCAAAAATCTTTTGGTGGGAAAACCAAATTTTTTTTAGTTGAATTTGGGCACAAAATTTTTGGGTCCAACACTTATACTTAAGAAAATATTACCAAGTTAATAAAAATTCCAATTTTCTTGTTTTCTCCGCTTCGTCGGCGGTTTCTTGTTTTCTCCGCTTCGAGATCTCTCTCTTGGCTATCACATAGATCTG